TCTGATATAGTGTCTTCAGGTCCCTTTTGCCTGCTGCCTTTTCAGCTTCAGTATCTAGATTTTCGTAGAATCGTCTTTTGTCCTTCCTAGCACTCTTCTTCACTTCTTTGTCCAGTGCTGTGTAAGTTGAGCTCAGCGTCTCCTTCTCCTGTCCGTCCTTGCATTGAATCATTTTCTCTTTCACCATTCTCCTCTCTTCTATTAATTTCCAAGTGTCCGTTGAGAGCCATTCACGACATAGTCCACTTTAATCATCAGACAACAGTCAGAGATTCTATTGATTATAGGTTTGATCATAAATTGACATCTGTTTGAAGATCACTGAAAATCCACCAGGGAGTACTTGTCAACTGTTCCGCCCTAGTAGTATGTAGTCACGGCTATTGGAACCCTTAACCCCGGTAGACCATCAGGCTTCTTGGGGTGGATCCAATCGCCCATGAACTCTAACTTTTGCTGATTGGCGATATTTAGCCCAACTACCAACCACTGTCATAGGCGAGTATGTTCTCTTCTCAAAATTAATGGATCCCATTGACTACAACTTCTACCTCAGTAGTTAATGAGTTCCAGAAACAAAATCCATTTTTCGCCCTTTTTTATTTTCCTATATCATGAAAGGTGATATGTCAATTTTTTTTAAAATAACACAAATATTAACGAATTGCTAGTAGTTAGGATTCATGGGCTGGCCACTGAATCAGCTCCCAGTGGCTGAATGGTATACGAGCTTGTATTGTAACTGGAAGGTCTTGGATTCGAACCCTGTTGATGATTCCAAAACTAGGATGGAACAACTTTTCAGTACTCCTTGGATTTCCGATGGTTCTCTAACTCATATAAATCCGTGATCAATTCGTCAAAACAAATTTAATCCTTACAAACCAACTATTCAAAACAAATTTTAACAAAATTTTTATAAGAATACTAGTTGGTATTATAAGTTTGTTTAAATGTGTCGTAAGGCTTCTTATCCAGTAATTTAGTGATTTATCATATCATACATTTTAATTTAGATATATTATTTTGATACATGGAGAGAATTTGAATATCTTCCACAAGTAAAGTTGAATTGTTTCCTCTTTAGTTCATCTGTGTTATTGAATGTTTTATTGTTTTTAAAGATATTATTGGTTTGTGTTCATTTTGTTGTTTGAAAGATTTATTTTTAGAACAAGACATACAAGGGAACGATATTGTTTCCAATTAGATCTTTCCCAGGTTTTGTTCTTGATGAGAAGGCTAACAAGAATGAAATGTTAACAAAATTTAATGATATACATCCATTGCTCATCACTTGTGAAGAAGAACATGATGACAGACTACACTACCCTGATATCCCATTGAGAAGAAGACAGGATAGTTCGCTCAACAGAAATGTCTATGGAAAAACTACGTTTGTAGGACAATATACATATTTCCTCAGTTTTGTATCGATCTGATACAAAATCGGTTTGGTTAGATGCCTGACGAATTGTGAAAGAAGGATATATCCTAAATACGCCAGTCAAAATGGGTTATCCTAGTAGATTTGTAAGCAAGCAAATGAACACCAGGCATAATAAAGAGAAACTGACAACAGTTAAATTAGTGGGGACGCGTCTAGTGAAGTCCTACATCTTAGATAATCGAGAACAATAAAACGGACTAATACTGCTACCATCCTCTGTTTGTCATTTTCTAGGTGATCAGTTGTGATTGCTCAAGCTAAAGACAAGTTGCCTAGCTGTACCACTTCTGTGTGTGAATCTGTAAATTTAGTTGCTCCTGTGGAGAAAGCTATCTAAGGTGAACAACTACACAGATCAACAAACGCATTAATGAGCATCTTCCTTCATGGTTAGGAAAAGGTAAAATAAAATCTATAAGCGGTTTTATTTTGACTCATTTGATTGAGAGTGGTCATCAAATGGATAGAAATAGTGCCTTCAAAGTAATCCATCACATTCCATCAAACCTTCCGAACGGAATTCGAATCCTCCTTTTACACACAGCCGAAGCTATGAGAATTAAGTCGAGAGAACAATCCTAGTCTTTGCATTCAACAAAAGAAGTTTGTTCTATCTTTATCTCTCCTTCGGTCAAAGTAAAGTTTAGGTGAAACCCTCCCACCCTTTCTTATTCTCCATTTCTTTCGTACTCTTATGATATTTATTTAAACTCTGATTATCTGTCCACTTCACCTTTAGTGTAACGTAACTTTTAAGCTTTTACCAAATCATTTATTTGTTGAATTGTCTACATATACACATATTACTTGCTAACTTCGTTATTTTTACCGCCACGTACATAAACCTTATTATCAATATTTTGTTATCATTATAAACATCGTCATTTCTGACGTTCAAAACATTTATCACATTTCATACATTTGGTTCTCTTGATAAATTTGATAGAGAAAGAAAGACCAGATTTGCAGTATAAAATGATATCATTCTATTTCACAGGTTCTCATCAGCTGCAAACTACCTGAAATTACAATGGTTATAAATGATAACATTTCATACTTCATTGTTTGAAAAGTAATAGAGAAAACATTATAAGGTGAACGCATCTTCTTTCATAGTTTGATAGTACATAAATTGATGGTGATTGACTTAGATTATAATACTTATATTCCAGATGCGTTCACCTTATAATGTTTTCTCTATTACCTTTCAAACAATGAAGTATGAAATGTTATCATTTATAACCATTGTAATTTCAGGTAGTTTGCAGCTGATGAGAACCTGTGAAATAGAATGATATCATTTTATACTGCAAATCTGGTCTTTCTTTCTCTATCAAAATTTATCACATTCTTATTATTATTGCTATTATTATTATTTGATCCACAAAATAACCGTCATTGGTTCAAATTTTTATATATAGATCTATGTAAATTAGAGTAAAGCCTGAGGAAGATCTAATTGAAAACAATATTGTTCGCTTATATGTCTTGTTCTAGGATTATTTTTAAATAGACTGATTTCTACTGAAAAGGTCTAAATATTATCAAAATATTCCTGTAGTCAAGTCACTCACGCTTATTGCATGTTTTTTATTAGAATTCGAATGAATTATTATTATTTCATGTAATTCCTGGAGGAACATAGGGCTTCAGTTGCACGTCTCAATCGCGTTCAGTTCTCTGCGGACGTTTTCACCTGGCTTCAGGTCTGCCCACATGCGTTCATCTCCTCTTCACATCACCTCCTCCAAGTCACCCTAACACTGACGACCAACTCACCGCTTCCCTTCCGGCTTCCATTCGAGCGATGGCTTGTCTAGTGATGCCACTTGATGGTTTCCTCAGAATATGGCCGATCCACCTCCATTTCTTCCTGCCTATTTGTTTCACAGTCGGTTCCTGGTTGGTTCGCTCATTGCATGAGATCCCTGTTGCTTATCTTTTCTGGCCGGTCGTCTGATCTTGAGCAGTATTGAGCGAAGACAGATGTTAACGAAGGTCTGCAGTTTGTTTGAGGTGCTCTTTATGACGCGCAGTGCAAGTCTCAGATCCGTATAGTAGCACTTCATTCACATGAGAGTTGAAAATCCGGATATTATTTTTGATGGTGAGTGCTGTTGACCTCCACACAGCCTTGAGAGTAATGAAAGCTTGTCTTGCTTTCCCGATCATCGCTTTGATATCCTCGTCAGTTCCGCCCGACTGTAGTTGAAACAATGCTTCCCAGTTAGGTAGGTGAAGGAGGTTGTTTCTTTCAGGTTCCTACCATTTATGCTGGCTGATTTTTTTCAGTCGTTGTTTTTGTTGTTGTCGATGTTGGTATTGGCCAGGAGTCTTCATCACCTGTTTTATCTACGTTCACCTGAATTCTTTCCTATCGATGATGCTTCTTCTGCCAACTTGTTGCTTTTCACTTGCATTTTTCCAGTTTGTGGGAAATCAAACATATGTCATCATCGCCGAAGTCCAGATCCCCCAATTGTTTCGTGTGAGTCCATTTTATGCCTGTTTCCTCATTGCCCGTTGTCTGTCGCATTATCCAGTCTACTGCAGTCAGGAAGATCATTGGCGATAGTAGACAGCCTTGTCTCACCCCCTTCCTCACTTCGAAGGATTCTGTAAGTTTCCCGTTGTGGATTACATGGCATGAAGTATTGTCGTACAAATGTTGGATGAGATGTATAATTGTCGGTGGCACCTCGTAGTAGCGAAGTAGTTTCCAAATCACCTCTCGGTCGACGCTGTCGAAGGCCATTTCGAAGTCGATGAAGTTGAGATAGAGAGGTGACTGCCATTCTGAGCTATGTTCAATGATGATCCGTAGTGTGGAGGTTCGATCAATACATGACTTGTTTCTCCTGAATTCAGCCTGTTCCGGTCGAAGTTTTTCATCCGGGGCTTATTTGATTCTCTCCGGGATGATGGGGCTTAGTATTTTGGTTGGGATGGACAGGAGCGTAATTCCGCGCCAGTTCTTCCATTGACTTAAGTCTCCTTTCTTTGGTAGTTTGAATAAGTATCCTTTCTTCCAATCCTCTGGTACTTTGCCCTCTTTCCACACCTTCTGCAGTAATGGCATCATCAAGTCCGATGTTGTCTCTGGGTCCATTTTCAATTCTTCTGCTGGGATTTCATCCGGTCCTACTACTTTTCCAACTTTTAGCACCTTGATTGCCTTCAGGACTTCTGATTTCATCGGGAGGGGGTTGATGTTCACTAGTACAATAATAGATAGGTATTAGTTCCACAATGAAGTGTTTCACCTATAAACTACTAAAAACAGCCCTAATAATCTATTTGGTTAATAAATATGTACATCTATAAATAATAAGCGTCTGGTAGTCCGAGGATGACATGCAGGAGGTCATGTGGAAAAGAAATGAAAGCATGTGAGCAGATGTGGAGCCAAATGGAACCGTCAGCAGAGAACTGAACGCAATGGAGACGTGCGGTTGAAACCCTATTTTCCTTTAGAAACTAAAGGAAACAATAATAGAATTAATAATAAGCGTACATATAATCTACCTCTTTGATTTCTTTTTTATTTTAGGGCAGTGATCCATCCACATATGAAATGATACAGAAAATTCAAGCTTTACAAAAACGTTTAATTAGTAAAACAGAAGAAGTTGTTGAAAAAGAGCTACTTATTCAAGAAAAAGAGAAAATCTATGTTGAATTAAAGCATATATTAGCACGTCAACCAGGTCCAGAAGTTGCTGAACAATTGAATGTCTATCAAAATATTATAAAAGATAAAACAAAACAAATGAAGGTTAGTCAAATGTACTATTATTATTATTATTATTGTTATTATTCCCTTTTATTACAAGTAGAATATAGAAATTTAGCAGCATATCACTAGTTCACTGTGTTACCTGTTGTCTTTTTCAAATTAACTTTACGATTGCCTATAAAATTTCATTCTCTCTTTATACGATCATCTTCATTTTACCCTTTGACCCGAGCTCTAATTGTAGTTCTCCACTCAAGTTTTAAAATCGACGACCTCACACGTGATAACAGTCAGACTTTGCTCAATGTATCTCCAAACCCTTCCACATATATTTCTTGGGCAACAGGTTCTTGATTAATTGATTCATTCTCAGAGTTTCTTGCTCCTTTCAATATCGAGGCGATTAAATTCCACAGTAGCCTTTTTTGAAAATGATTTTGATGATGCGTTTGCCAAGTCTCTGAACCATATAGAAGCAATGATTCTATATTGATGTTAAAAAGTCAGGAACTTTTACTTTATACTTAATGCATCAGATTTCATCATCAGTGATTTCTGAGTGGCAGATATCTGTTTTGCCTTTCCGATTCTGACCAGCTTTAACATTCTCATACGTACCGTTTATAGTTCAAAAAATATTCTGTCTAGGTAGGAGAAAGAGGTGACATCCTTAACACTTTCCCTGTCGATAGTGATCGGCACTTGTCCTTGTAGTCGGTCAGGGGTATCTTCATTCCCTTAATTATCGTTTGAAATCCTGTCTTCGCCGCTTCTTCTGACAACTTGCTTGGTTTTCATTTGTAAATCTTCCACTCAACCGTTTTTTTCAAAAACTTAAACTGTTTATTTGGTGCTGAGTGACTGGGAAAGGAATCTTATCTCAGAAATTTTTAGATTCACTTATGAATAAAAATCACTTTAGGGTTAAGTGAAGGGAAGAAAACTTCTTTGTAGTTGATACTGATGCCTAGAGATCGGTTACATTACTAGTTAGTGGTTTACTTTATGAAAGGTATTCAATTAAAAAACATTTCAGATTAGTTTCATACACGAATTTCCCTTTTATAAATTTGAACAAAGATAGAACAAAGTTTGGTACAGGTTGATATTGTTCTATTTTGTTTCTTCGGTCTTCTTCATTATTATTATTACTGCTCCCTTGGGTTTCCAGTGGAACATAGGGCTTCAACTGCACGTCTCCATTTGATTCTGCCTTCTGCTGTACTTTTCGCCTGCATCCATGTTAGTCCATATTCTTTCAACTCCTCTTCACACGATCTCCTCCATGTCACCCTTGCTCCGACGTCCCACACGCCGCTTCCCTTTCGGGTTCCACTCGAGGGCTTGACGCGCGATGTCACCCAGCGGTCTCCTCAGCGAGTGTCCGATCCATCTCCACTTTCTCCTGCATATTTGTTGGGCGATTGGTTCTTGCTTTGTTTGTTCCCATAATTCCTTGTTGGTGATTCTTTCCGGCCCATCTGATCTTCAGTATAGAGCCAGCGAAGACAGTTGTTAATAAAGGTCTGCAACCTTTTGGAAATATTCTTTGTGACCCGCCCTCCAAGTTTCTGATCCGTATAGAAGAACTGACTGACTGGACGTTTGTATTGAAAATCCGAATTTTGTTGGTGATGCTGAGTGACGAAGATTTCCAGATTGATTTCAGGCTGATGAATGTGTTTCTCGCCTTCCCGATTCTCGCTCGATTTGACATCCTCGTCCGTTCCCTCCTGTAGTTGAGACAATGCTCCCTAGATAAGTGAGTGAATGAAGTAACCTCTTTCAAATCCCTCCCGTTGATGGTGATTGACGTTGGATGTTGTTGCTGTTGTTGGTTGGTTATTTTCATAACCTCCGTCTTGTCTATGTTCACCTGGAGTCCTGTCTTCGCCGGCTGCTTCTTCGACCAGTTTGTCGGTTTTCGCTTGTAAGTCTTCGATTGTGTGTGACATCAAACATAAATCATCCACGCGCGAAATCCAGGTCTTCTAGGTTCTTCACGTCGGTCCAGGATATCCTGTCCTGTTTCTCGTTTCCCACTGTCTGACGCATAATCCAGTCCACCACAATTAGGAATATCATTGGTGATAGTAAGCACCCTTGTCTGACTCCTGTGTTTACTCCAAACGCCTCGCTGAGTTTTCCGTTGTGGATCACTTGACATGTGCCGTTGTCGTACAGCTGTTGAATAAGGTTGATGAATATTTGGGGTACGCCATAGTACTCGAGTAATTTCCAAATTACTTCACGGTCAACGCTGTCGAAGGCCTTCTCAAAGTCTATAAAGTTGAGGTAGAGGTTTGATTGCCATTCCATGCTTTGTTCTGTGATGATGATGCGTAGAGTTGCAATTTGGTCAGTACATGATTTGCCTTTCCTGAATCCAGCTTGTTCTGGTCGGAGTTCTGTCTCCAGTGCGTCCTTTAATCTCTCCAGGATGATGCGACTCAGGATTTTACTTGGCGTCGATAGGAGCATGATTCCTCGCCAGTTCTTGCAGAGTGAGGCGTAAGTCGCCCTTCTTTGGTAGTTTCACGAGGTAACCTTTCCTCCAGTCAGTAGGCACCTTTCCCTCCTTCCAGACCTTTTGCAATAATGGAGTCAGCATGTCTGCTGTAGTCTCTGGGTCCGCTTTCAGTGCTTCAGGGGGTATTCCATCTGGTCCGGCTGCTTTTCCAGCTTTCAGAAGCTTGATTGCGTTCAAGACTTCAGCTCTCGTTGGAGGATTGGTGTCAACTTGCAGTTGTGTGCGCGCTGTTGTTGGTATTTCTGGACGGGTTGCAGGTGATGGTCGGTTCAAGAGTCCTTTGAAGTGATCCGCCCATTGTTTAATCTGTTTTTCTTCCTTGGTAATTGGGTTCCCTTGGCTGTCTTTTATAGGTTTCGCTTGTGTTGGTCTCTTCCCGGATAGAGATTTGGTTATCTGATATAGTGTCCTCAGGTCCCTTTTGCCTGCTGCCTTTTCAGCTTCAGTAGCTAGATTGTCGTAGAATCGTCTTTTGTCCTTCCTAGCACTCTTCTTCACTTCTTTGTCCAGTGCTTTGTAAGTTGAGCTCAGCGTCTCCTTCTCCTGTCCGTCCTTGCATTGAATCATTTTCTCTTTCACCATTCTCCTCTCTTCTATTAATTTCCAAGTGTCCGTTGAGAGCCATTCCTTGTCTTGTCTCTTCTTTCTTCCTAGAACCGTTGAACACGTTTCGTTGAGAATCGCCTTCAGAGACTTCCAATGTTCTTCCACGCATGATTCTTCAGTGCTGTCGCGTAGTGTTTCCTGCTTTGCTCTGACAGTTGCAGTGAAGGTGTCTTTTGTGGTTGTGTCCTTCAGTTTGAGTGTTGAACTTGCATTGTGGCCTATCCCCAGCTATCCTCGAGGCTTTTAGTTTCACCTTGAAAGTCCCTTCTACTAGATAGTGGTCTGAACCCACATCTGCTCCTCTCCTTGACCTTGTGTCCAGTAGGCTCCGTCTCCACTTTCTTGAAATTGAGATGAAGTCTATTTGGTTCTTGGTGTTTCCATCTGGTGAAATCCATGTCGTCTTGTGTATATCCTTGTGTTTGAACACACTACCACCAATCACCAAATCATTGAAGGCGCAGAAGTCTGAGAAGAGTTCACCATTGTCGTTCATTTCACCGAGGGCCTCACGACCCATGGTGAGTTCTCTTCCTGTGTTGTCTCCTCCCAGCTTCGCATTCATGTCGCCCATCAGGATTTTGATATCGCCATTTGGGACGTTGTCCATTATTGCTTGTAGTTGTCTGTAGAACGCCTCCTTCTTCTCTTGTTCTGAGACGTTTGTAGGCGCATAGCATTGAATGACTGTAACTTTCCTTCCTTTTGAGTTGAACCTGGCTGTCATTATCCTGGAGGAGATTGGTTCCCACTGCATGAGAGCTTTGGTTGCTGTTGGTGACATCATGATGGCCACTCCCTCGGTGTGCTCATGGTTGTCCTCTGGGTGGCCGGAAAAGATTACTGTCTCTCCAGTAGGTAGTTGGCACCTTCCAGTTCCGTTCCATCTGCTCTCGCAGATTCCCAACACTTCTATTCTGTACCTTCTCATTTCAGCGGCTATCTGGGCAGCCTTTCCAGTTTCGTACATTGTACGAACATTCCAGGTACCCATCCTTACTTTTGCTTTCATCGAAAGAAGGCACATCGGCTGACTGGCTTCCCGAAGGCTTTCACCAGCCTGCGTCATTTCACTTCCCCGATTCCAGCGAAAAGTAAGGCTATTGCTTATGTTTTTAGAATTTTTAATATATTTATGCATTGAAGTTTCTGTAGCGATTTGGTTGTTTTACAGGGGTGGAGTTGCTAGCACCACGCCCCAACCCTCCCTCTTTACCCAGGCTTGGGACCGGCTAGAAAACTAGTAAGCTAGTATCTGGCGAGATTTCGGTCCTCTTCAGCTACTATTAACGACCTTATCCTGATGACATCATCTTCAATTTCGTATTTGTAAATCTAAATACACTTGCGGTAGTAAGTAGAATTCAAAGAAAAAGGAGAAACGTTTCTTTCAGGTTTCCTAGATTGCATCCTAAGAAACTGATGTTTGAAGGGTTACAAATAAGCACGCATTGCAACCACTAAATATCTCGTCGATACAGGATATACTTCTTCAGGTCCTTTAAAAAATATTTTTACTGTAGATTCTAAGATTAGCATACTCCGAGTGAAACGATTGACACAAAACTGTTTTCCTACGAGATTTATGTACACAGAATCAAAACCTAATTGGTCACTCACTATATCGGTAATGATATATGCTAATGGTTGCCATGGTTAATTGTATACTCCGCAACTGGTTTAAATCTAATTAACTCCATTTTATTCATTTATTACGTCATCTCTTAAATGAATACTGTTTTTGGCCATTCATCTCACCTCTGCTTGGTACAATCTATAAAATAACGCTAATGTAGGTTAGAAATACTCTGGATTTTAGATGCCTTGATACACATAACAGATTCTCTGCTGTAGCGTGAATACTTGAAGTATATTAGTTTTACTTTACTATAATCACTTGAGTGGAAACCCAATGGGAAGTGATGATTGGGTCGTCGGTGCAACGGTGACATGGGGGAGATAGTCTGGCGAGAAGGAGATGAAAGATTATAGTCAATTGTGGACCCAGTGAAAGAGAACAGCACCATATAGAACAAAGTCGAAATGTGTTGTTGAAGCCCTGTGTTCTTCTCAGAACAAAAACGAATAAAATGATAATATTAATAACCACTTTAATTTCAAGTAATTTGTGGTTGATGAGACAAATTTGATCTATGATCTTATTCCTTTTGTTAAAATTTGTCATGGAGCATATTTTGTTATTGGAAACACTCCTTTTCCTATACGAATTTGAAACAAGTAACAAGTGTTTAATAAAGTGGTATTTCAAAATATCAAACATTCCTATTGCAAAATTTAAAACAACACATTTAGGCAAATAATATTTTCAGTTGGATCTTATCCAACTTAACTCCAATTTTTATTATTATTTCCTGTAATTCCTGGAGGAACATAGGGCTTCAGCTGCACGTCTCAATCGCGTTCAGTTCTCTGCGGACGTTTTCACCTGGCTTCAGGTCTGCCCACATGCGTTCATCTCCTCTTCACATCACCTCCTCCAAGTCACCCTAACACTGACGACCAACTCGCCGCTCCCCTTTCGGCTTCCACTCGAACAATGGCTTGTCTAGTGATGTCACTTGATGGTTTTCTCAGAATATGGCCGATCCACCTCCATTTCTTCCTGCCTATTTGTTTCACAGTCGGTTCCTGGTTGGTTCGCTCATTGCATGAGATCCCTGTTGCTTATCTTTTCTGGCCGGTCGTCTGATCTTGAGCAGTATTGAGCGAAGACAGATGTTAACGAAGGTCTGCAGTTTGTTTGAGGTGCTCTTTATGACGCGCAGTGCAAGTCTCAGATCCGTATAGTAGCACTTCATTCACATGAGAGTTGAAAATCCGGATATTATTTTTGATGGTGAGTGCTGTTGACCTCCACACAGCCTTGAGAGTAATGAAAGCTTGTCTTGCTTTCCCTATCCTCGCTCCGGATGCTTCTTCTGCCAACTTGTTGCTTTTCGCTTGCATTTCTTCCAGTTTGCGGGAAATCAGACATATGACATCATCGGCGAAGTCCTGATCCTCCAAGTTTTTCGTGAGCGTCCATTTTATGCCTGTTTCCTCATTGCCCACTGTTTGCAGCATTATCGAATCTACCGCAATCATTAGGCAGCCTTGCCTTACTCTCGTCCTCACTTAGAAGGATTCTGTAAGTTTCCTGTTGTGGATTACTTAGCATGCAGCATTGTCGTACAACTGTTGGATGATATGTATAATTGTCGGCGGTACCCAGTAATAGCTCCAATATGCATAACTTTACAAATAAAAATTCAAATACAAACCAATCATGGTGTTTTGTCCATGGGATAATAAGACTGTGCGTATTAACTACGTAATTAGTAATAATGATACTAATAATTCTGTCTAAGATGAAACAGGTGTCCAGTACTCCCTGGTTTTCAATGGTTCTCTAACTGATATCAGTCTATGATAAAATTGCCAATAACAAAGACAAAAGCAATGCAGTGACCTGTGAAAACAAGACTAATGAAAAACAACATGATTAAAGAAACAAATGTTCAGACAGAAGCAGTCGATAAAGGCTATGAAAAAAAATGGATTGATTAAGTTATCGATAAGAGTAAATAAGGTACGTTTTAATGAAGATGGGATAAGATCAAGGGATGATAAATGAGGGGTTGAAAATATAAGTAAGGACTAGTGATGACGTCATCAGTTGGTTAGGCCTTAATAGGCCAAGGGAGGAATAATAACTGTATAAAGAACCTCTTTTGAATGCATAGTTCGAATACCTAACACCCGTTGGATAGATTCGGTGGGATGCAATGAATCACTTTAAACGCCTTCGTTTTCTCCAATAATAAGTGACCACTATCAACTAAATTTGACAAAATGGAGCTACGGTTGGTTTTTGTCTGTCCTTTACCAAACCACAATGGGAGATGTTCAGTTAGATGTTGTCTAAGCTGTCTAGTTGGTACGCCTAACAAAACTGTCACTGCATGTACAGTTGAACTGATTTATACAAATAGATGTGGCAAAACTATCTAGCTTATCTTTAATTTGAGTCTCAATCAATCGTCGGTTAGAGAATGATAAACATAGGTTTGCTACCTGAAAAGTTATTCGTATACTCCTGGAGAGTTTCCAGAATGAAATCTCACTTGAAAAGTCCCCATTGAATTGTAATTTAATAAATAGAGGTTTTTTCTCCAGTGTTTGCATATGTTTCTTTGTGGAAATAATCGGATAAGCCTTATCCGTCAAGGAAGCATGAATACATTCGAATTCCTTTTGTAAGTTATCATCAGTTCATATCTTTCTTGCTCTGCTCGTAAGACAGTTAACAACATTTCTCATATATATGTAATGGGCACATAACCATGGAAGTGTGTGTATTGCTCTATGAATGTATATTAGAGCTAGGCCTAATGAGATCTAATTGAAAACAATATTGTCCGCTAAAATGTGTTATTCTAAAGTGGGATTTGATGGATTCATCAAGTTCCGGCAGAACTCTTTAGCTAAACACTTTACATACAGTGATATATTTATTCTTGGAAATACACTGGAGGTGTGCTACTTATATGAAAATAAACTACAAAGAATCAATCATGTAAAACGACAGGTGAAAATGTTTTACCCAACCATGTTCAGGTGGATTAGGGGGAAGGTGTACGACAGGTTAAAAATAAGGTTACATTGGATTATGGTTAACTTACATCACCGTAATAAACTAATAGTTTAAGTGTTGGTTTGTAGGAATTTGATTGGTTACAGGATTGTAATCATGAGCTCATGAAGCTAAGAGTTATCAGACAAGGGGAGGACTTGAAAGTTTGAAGGATTGTAAACTGAACAATATAAACAAAATGAGTTAGAATTATGGTAGGGAGGAGAGATGGTTTTAAACGATTCGTCAATAATAATGATACAAAATAGAATAAAAAATTGTTAATATAACAACAAAAACAACCAGCACCAATCACCATCAATGGAAGAGATTTAACTGAGGTTATCTCCTACACTTATCTGGCCAGGAAGCATCGTTTCAACTACAGGCCGCCTAAACGGATGAAGATATCATAGTCAGCCAACCAGAATGTGAAAAGCAAAATACTCCATCGTCAACCTGAAACCAGTTTGGAAATCTTCTACGCTTAGCACAAGGAACAGGATTTTGATTTTCATCACCAATGTCAAGTCGTCTAGTGCTTCTAAACGGGTCTGAAACTTGCACTGCGTGTAAGTCACGAGAAGGATTTCCAACAGGCTAATGCAGACTTTTATCAACAACTGCCTTAGCTGCATACTGAAGATCAAATGTTCAACAGGGAAGAATTAGTGACAAGAAACTCTGACTGGCAACAAACTAACCGAGCAAGAGCCGATTGCTCAACAAATATGTAGGAGAAAATGAAGATGGCTTGGGAAACCGTCAAATGACATCGCATGCATTTCAGGCCATTGCTCGAGTGGAATCTAAATAGGACACTGTGGGTGGGTCATCAACGCGATGGTGACATGAAGGAGATCGTGCGAAGAAGAGATGAGAGATTATAGGGAATCGTGGATCCAGCTGAGGAGGATGTCAGAAAATAGAGGAAAGTGTGGATGTGTTATTGAAGCTCTATGTCCGCCTGAGAACCCAAGGGAACAATAATAATGATATAACATTTACGAAGTAAAAGTCACTATCATGGTAGATTTAGAGTGACCACACAAAGATCGGGTTTATAAGCTCCAGTCTTATGAGCGTATGGAAATTTAAGCATATCTTTCTGTTTGTTTGTTTGAAGGCAACAGCGGAAAACACGATAGCGTCAATGTGATGTCCGTAGACAACAAGACGCTTTGTTACTGAACTTTTGTTTCACCTTGACTTGACCTTTTTTTCAATCCCTTGTTTCATTATACGAGTGGATAAATCGCCTTTCCTTACAACCTACGCATTTACTTCCAAAAGACACTCGTATCTGTCGTTTTTGCACAACTGACTGACAGTGTTGCTTATTTTTTCATCAGTAACATACCTCTGAATGGTATGCATGCAGATTATTCATCTGTAGGGTTCTACCAAAATTTGATGCATCCATTAAATCCCACTTTATCAATATTTATTGCTTTGTTTCAGTTTTGTTTTTGTTCTTAGTTCAATGCATAACTTAAAATGAGTTGAAACCCTTCATATTTTGTCAAATACTCTTTGTTATAATCACTAAAAATAATAAACAATTAGGCAATGACAGCTGAAATGAATGTTTATGAAAATCAAATAGCTGAATACAAGTCAGAGATAGAACATTTGAATCGTGAATTACAAAATGTCAAAAAGAATTACTTTAAACAAAAAAGACGTCAACAGAAAATGAAAATAGTCACCGATGAAAATTCCAGTAATAATGAAGCAAACGGAGCAGAAGGAGGATGTAAGCTACAAAGAAAATCTCAACAAAGTCAATTATTACTGCCAGAAAGGAATAAAGATTCTCAGACACGTTTTACTGGCGGAGGATTTAAAATTACACATGTTGCCAGCTGATTTCAGCAAAAATGTGTTATTGGTAAAGATGTGGAACAAAAGAAAGAAATAAAGTTTATATATACTATACCATACATTTGTTATGTATCTGTATGTATATTCTCCAATTTTATGTCGAAAAAAAGGAAGAAAAACAATCTTAGTTTTAAACAGTCACTAGTCATATTTGAAAATAAATCCGCCAAACTCAAAATATAAATTTGACATGAATAAATATGCGATAAAAGTCATCATTTGCCTTTTCAACTTCTATTGATTTATTGACAATATATTTAATATATTATCGGTTGTATAATGATGTGTTATTTTGAGGAAACGATAATGATAATTTCTAATGGGTGTTTTTGTGTTCTATAATGAGCTGGGTGGTGTTATTATGGGATTAAATCTGCCAACAGATATTTTTTCCTCAATATCGGTACTGTTGATACAGAGTTTAAACCTCACTATAGTTAAAACTCAAGTTTTAGTGAGAGCTGTCCGAAAGCCAAAATTGTAGTCAACAATTTACGTCAGTGTTTACGTCCTGAATCGGGGGCATGAGAAAAAACAATAACAAATCTTGGCCCTGAGGAACTTACCAGCCAACCACGGTAAACTTAACGTATGCAAATACGATTCGCAGATATATGGCTTAACTTTCTAAGAAACGGCCGCAAGGAGATGACAGAATAACCCTCAACAGGGAAACAACCAATCAGAAGAGTTTGCCTCCTGCTAACAATAACGCTACTAATAATACCCATAAAAGTCGATAAATACCTCTTGATTTTCTCAATAAACGATCTGTTGCCTGGCTCTTGTCTTCTGTCGTTACGAAGTGACTTTATGTAAACTTTATCTGTTTCTAAAATACAGGGAAATAACAAAATCACACAAAGATAATAAAACAAAGACAACTGTCTTTCAAGGAAGGATAAAGACATATCGAACAGTCCCAATGCATGGAACAAAATGGTTTTTGAATTACATTTACGTACATACAAGAAATAAAACACAATAACTCATCTAGGGTCAACCACCAGTGGTGGGAGTTTACATTAAAATAGTCAATAATCAGAAGAGACGAGGTCAGGTCGTATTGATTAATTGATTGTCATAATTTCTGTCTTGACTGGACTCTAGAAACTAATATGGTGTTTCTAGTCGTTTCTTTGGCGCAGACTGAATTCTATCAGTCAGGTTTGTAATGTGGCCACTGTTCTAGGTAGCTCGCCATCACGGTGCATATTGATTTGATGATAGGTTGCAGACACGCCTTACTGACGAGTGCCAACTAGCACGAAACCTAGGTCCAAGGCTTCCTGCCGATTGTTTTCAACTAACTAATAATTTCTGTCTGTTGTGATTAACACTTTTGATTGTAAAGGTTTCGCTTTATTTCTAGACAACTTATTCAGCTCTAATATTGAGTATGAAATGAACTTATCTAAATTCTTCATGAATGTTATAATTGCCTTTCTTGACTACTTTCGTTGTTATCGGCTGTTAATTTGTATTAACTGTCAACAGTTCCATTGATTTGGAATTGGACTATTTTCCTCAGGTAGAACATGTGTTGATTGCAGATCTGCTTGAGTAACAGGCTGGTAAAATATCCCTAGCATTCGGTTGCTTCTTTTGTTTAAAGCTTGTATAATTCTGCAGTTAAATTAGTGTCTGTAGTTGTCTACATCGGGAGAGTTAAACTTTAGGTATCAGAAAGTACCAGTGGAAAGATGACCTCGAACGCACCAATCACATGATAAAGAAGAATTATTAGTACGAAATACATATATTCATCAAATTAATGATTTAAAAGGCATGAAACTGTTACATAGGGTCCCCTTCTTTGACGTGTGACAAAAATACTTCTCAGTTTTGGACTGGAGTATCAACACAGGATTTAACCCCATTCTATGTATGTTATTTTCCAGTCTTCTAACCTCAACGATAACTCTAATCTTTCCTTAAACTAACCCTAATGTGAGAATATCCCGAAACTAACCCTAGTCAAACTAAAACCAACCCTAATGTTGCTTTCATTAGGTTAACTGAACCCTAACATGTCCTTAGCCTAAATATTAACTTAGTCTTTCTCAAACCTCACTTGAAGCTTGCCAGATATCCCATTTATTAACAGTACATCTCATTAAGTTTTTTTTCTTCATGCCTGCAATATTATCCGCCAGGTTTCACCAACTTGCCTACTTTGAATCTCAAGGTCATTGGTGCTGTCACACTCCGTTGCTACTCACCGGTGCTTTAAGTTTAACTTGGCCTCTGCATGCATTGATATGAGATGACACATGTCATTTCTCTTGACTGGTTTTTGCTGACAGCTGGATTCCGCTTCAGATATATTTTGATCAAATTATGAAAGCTGAAATTTTTGTTGAGGACAGTTACTAGGCATTTACCTTTAATTCTTCTCAAGACTAGAATGCTGTAATGAGTATCAGCTTTTCTGAATATTTCAATAAAGCAAGAACAACTGCTTTTTCAGAGTAGAATGACACAACCATTTATTACATTGGCTTCTCATCAGCTGCTTACATCCCAAGGACATTATTAAGTATATCTACGGAAACAATTTTAGCATGCTTGCACAGAGTTCATTTTTAAACAAAAAATCAGTCAATCAATATATGCATAAAGTAATAATAGATATATGAGTTTGTACACGTCGTGCTAAGTATAATGGTCATCTCGCATTTCTTAAGATATTTCAGGAAAAATTTTCAGTGACTAATCCAGAGCTGTTCTGTACAGAAATCAGAACACCTAAGCAAGCTAAGCCCACAAAGCATTTAAAGGCTTATAAAACAATGAGTATTTTCACAGTAGGCTTTGTACAACAAATTTGACTACAAGACCGCCGGTAAACACCAGTTTTGAACCACTTGCAAATGCTACAGGGCGATTCTCCATATTTTCCAAACATGTACTTTATAATAAAGGAAGCCTTTTAAAGGAAATCACATGGAGAAGGATTCCTGATCCAAAGGTGTAATACATTCTTATTCTAATCCGTTGCCTTATGTTTCTCTACGAAATCGTGAACAGGCGCACTTTTTTTTAGGTTTCTATGTACACGTACATATATTTCTCACCTGATCTTCAAATACAGCTTCGCAACATACAGCTCGATTAGCTCCTGATGAACTTACGGATGCATACCAACATTATCTATCAAATAGGGCTATATATCTTCAACTCTTGCAAGTAATGAATTCCATGTGTGAGTAGAAAGCACCTATTTTGCCATTTGAGATGGTTTATTTCATCAAATGATACTGCCGCTCCAAAATAATGTCCTATCTGACTGTGACTGCTAAATTGCAGTGGTGGTCGCAAAGCTCCTCTTTTAATCAGGTTAAAATACATTATTAGTGTAAAGAATATGAGAGTGCATGAAAACTCTGTAGGACTAACAGGTAGAGAAAGGCAATATTTCACTATTCTCATGCATCTCCTTATAAATATGTTTTAATCATGACACACTCCATTTTCTGTTAAAGTACAATGTTTTGTTAAAATTCCTAAAATTTTCTTTGCGTAGAGCAATAAATCTCGGCTGTTTGTACAGCAGAGTCTTTACACCAGAAAATGACTAGGTTGGATCTTTCTGGTGACCGCTGGTATAATAATGCTAATCCATGAATTTAGTGTGAGACAGCCCTAGACTAATGCTACAAAATGAATATCAATCATTTCATTCCCCTTAGATAAAAATAAAAACGGAAGACAAGCTAGTCTAAGCCGGCGAGAAAAATTCCGTTTGTTGGATTAAAAGTGCACTATGGAACTCGGATAGTGTAATCGATAAATAGTAATCTGATGTGTTGCAAGAGTTTAGGCATGAGAGGTTTGCCAGTTAAGACACAGCAGAAGCCCGACGGTTTAATTTGATCTGAATATGCTTCAGTATACTTCAGCTGGTTTGGGTTACTTTCAGTTCATTCTGATGTTTTCAGTGAAAAGATGAAACCAAGTATGTATGCCCCATATACTGTAAAATCTCGATATTTCCTCATAACCACGACTAAAATTTATTTTTCCTTCTCATGATGGCATCGTTCGAAATGAGTAAAGTGATTCCTGGGTGAGCTTATCAAATTTAAGTAGGATATCATGATGTCTAATACTAACTACTCCTCCAACTCGATTACATAGAAAGAGCCCGACCGATAGCTGCTACCTTGACGTAGTGGTCAGGCTTACACATCGCGATGACCCAACAAGCTGCACTGGCTTGGACCAATGTTCCTGCAGGTCCTACCATGCCAGGAAGGTTGTTAGGATAGCGATTGGATTAAGAGCAGTTACCGGCATTGTGTAAGAATCTTTCTTACACCATGCTAGGGGTCTGTGAGAGAAGTCATACTGCTAGGGAACAGAGGAATAACGGCAGTGAGGTATTTCCCTCAGCTGACCGGCATGCCAGCCAGCTATGCTGTCTCTCCACTCCAGAGAGAGGGGGCTAGAAAAGGTCGACCCAAAAATTGTACATCGCGACTTACCCTAATGTGGTTCGTAACTGGCGGTAAGTTTACTAATACAGGCCGTGTGTGACCGGCCTCAAGCAGTTGTCTCCTGAGGTCTGCGGTCAAGCAACACTCTTTCTATTTCACGTAACAGAAGAATCAATCGACTTCCACGGCGTGGGCAGCAGGAAGTAACAACCACCCACACACTTCATAATAATAATAATGTTGTCAGCCACGTCTCGTAAACCGTTAATGCCCAGCTCTTCCTACGCTGGGACTCATGCTGTTCCTCGAAGCTTCTCAGAAACGCCTGGTACGAACGGACGCAAAGACCAGAACCCAGTTTGACGACTCGAGAATTATTTATTCTAACACCAACATATAGCCAATGTACAACTAAGGTTTCTGACGGTTGTCTCTTGACTTTCTGAACAGCGACTGATGAGTGGATGATTGATGCCTCCGCGAAAATTGGGGAGGTTGGGTTTGAGCAAACAACCATGAATTGATCGTTCAATCTTCAACTACATT